AAAAAAAAAAAAAAAAAAAAAAAACTGCAAAAAATATCGCGCAGTAAAATAAGAACAAATTTACGTAATTGAAAAATGTCAAATGGCGAGTTTGAGCAATATTATTTTTTCACGTGTCGAAAGCGTTAAATGTGTTCAATTTTCACGCGTGGTTTTTTTTTTTTTTTAAAAACCAGTTCTCTGCGCAAGCTCCAATCTAATCATTTTCTCAGATTACGAAGAGAAAGATTCGAAACAGGCTCGTGCGGAGAGAAACACGGAGGGGTGAGACGAGGGCGCACGAAGGGATGATAATGTGAGTCTGCAGGCGGGAGGTCTCCTGCGATGGGAGAGAGAGAGAGAGAGAGAGAGAGAGAGAGAGAGGATGGGGAGTGTCACTCAGGAGCACGACGTGTAAGAGAATGGTCACCGTCCCGGGGGGTGAATTGAGATGTACAGGCAATTTATGCAGCGAGCGCCACTCACGTCCGGAAGCGGCGGCGAGCGGCTGCTGACCATAAACCGCTTGCAAAACATCGCCGTGCTTTTTTCTCGCAACAAAACCAACAAAAAAAAAAAATCAAACTCGAACACCGGGGAGTAGACCGTGAATTTTCTGCGCACAGCTGATGCGATATTTTCGCCATCAGCGTCGCGTTGGGTCGCGTTGTCGCATTATTACAACTCGATGAAAATGTGTTTATTTTGTTGACGCGGTCGCAGCGCTCGTACGTGTGTTTGTGCATTAAAAAAAATGAATATTGATTTTGTAACAGAATGTTATTGCGATTCTCGAGTGTTTCGAACCTACGTAATTAATTAGGTTAAAATTGTTTTTAGATAAAAAAACAAATATATGACGTTAAGTTTTTGTTGCGAGATTTGTTAAGCGTGGAAAGTTTGGTAAAGTGAAATTTGTACAAGCCGAACGTCTTGTTGTAACAAAACTCGACGAGCATTTGATGCATTAATTAAAGCTCTATTGGCGCTAAATGGATTTAGGAAGCTTTCTGGTGGGACACCCGCGTGCATCACGTGTTCTCTTGCTTCGCAATTGTGACGGAGGAAGTGACGGAAAGCCGAGCGCGTTGATGGCAGTGGGGGATGGAAAACAGAGGATGGCTTTCGTCCGAGATGAATTAAGGATCTACCCCTCAAAGTGTCTCTCTATCTTTCTCTCTCTCTCTCTCTCTCTCTCCTTCTCTGCTTTTCTTTTTGTTCGTCATGTCGCGCTCCGGCGAGCTCGTGCGTACAAAACTTGCTCCGTATATCTCTCTAGCCTCCCCTCTCTTCTCTCGGCCATCAACCCTTATCGTGGTGGCGTCAATCACTCTCTCCATATACGGTGAAACTTATCGTTCGATTAATCGGCCTGACAATGCGCCTGTCGATTCGAGTTACCCTCGGACTCGCGCGCGGTCAGTCCTCGAAAATGCAACGCTCGTCCGACAACGATTTACGGCCGGAAAAGTTTTATGGCTGCCAATTATACGAGGAGAAGATCCTCTTACGCGAAATTGTTACGCGACCGTACCAAACCAGTAGGAAGAGAGGTTTCATTACCGTTTTAACAACGTTAATACACGGTGCGCGCGTTAAAAGCAAACGTTCGCCGACGCGAGATGCGCGTCGAAAACAATGGGATAAATATCTCTTCGAAACAAACGAAATTTTGAAACTCTGTCACGTCAAAGATAAGATCGTTTCCTCTCGCTTACGTTACATCGCGCGAGTGTGACGTCGCGCGTTGTTGTTTTTAAATTAAACTCGAATCTCCTCGAAAATTGTCGCTTGTATGTTTGCGGTGTATAAAAAAAAAAAAAAAAAAAAAAAAAAAAACCAGAAGAGAGACGTGAAAATGTTGTATTTGCAAATGGTGATTCTCGCGCGCGGAGAGAAACGCGCGTGAAAACGGTCGCGATAACAAAAGTTACGACGATCAAAAGTGGCAACGAATGTCATACGTTCAACCTGTCGTATAAATCTACACGCGAGTAGAACAAGTGTTGTCGGGACTCGAGCTGGTTGTTTGCAGTTTTCGGTGTGTGTCAGGCGGCTGCTAACACGCTTGTAAGTTCGGCGCCAAAATGTCTGGACCATATAACGTACTTCGGGCCATCGATATGTTCGCGCTACTGCGCGGAATTCGAGTGTCCCGAAAATTTTCTCTTTCTCTCTCTCTCTCTCTCTCTCTCTCTCTCTCGCAATTTTTACTCATCAATCCACGACGCGAATTGTTGTCGCGCGCGTTACTTGCGTCGCAAATTCAAATGCTGAACTTTTTCATCCGTGAAAAATAAATATACTGACGTGAACTCGTTTTGAATTTCTACACAAGCAGAAAATAAGAAAAACGATAGAGAGGGGAAAGAAACGTTTTTTGACGAAAGAGAGAGAGAGAGTTGGTTTTCACTTCTTACGTTAGCAAGAGTAAACAATTTCGCAACGTCGATACACGTGTGTTCCGAAACGATCGAAGATGAAACGGACAACAGACATTCGGCAATGAGCGCGCGACGTCCGATTCCCCTCCCCCTCGCCCCGTCGACACAACCGCTGTCGAATTCGGTCCAGCGGACAGATGCGCAGATTGCACGAACCGCAGAATGGAGATTAAAGATAACGCGAGGGGGGAAGTCGCGAGAGCGAATTGGTCAGATGGAGACGACCAAACGTCGACGTTTAACGCCATTTGCCGATGAGCCGTTCAGTCGTTTATTCTTACACAAGATGGATATCTTTTAACCGCAACGTTCAGGCAACAAATAACAAAAATCAAAATAACGCCTGTTGTTTATTGAAAAACAGAGTTGGCCTCGATTGAATAATACAGGTGCAGCGCGCAATTATCACGTCCTCAAAGTGATCGCGCTCACGAGAAGAGACGCGCCTCTTCTCTTTTCATCCCCCCTCCCCCCCCCTACATCCCACGATCCCAAAATGCCTATTCAAATTTTACGGGCCACATTGGTCGCAATTAAGTATTATGTTTTCGGGCTTATGGCCCAGAAATATTCCATATTGAGCGCGAGGCGAGGAAAACTCGCCCCGGAAACTGGAGATAAATTCGGGATCTTGCAAGGGGAAAGGGAGAAACGGGGAATTCACGAATAAAACGGAGGGAGTAAGTTTATGGCACTTGCGTGGGGCACAGCAACGGACATTTTCACGATTC